ACCATTCTTCATTTTTTATTTGGGATACATGCGACGTTTTCCACCTCCCAATCAAGGCAAAATCAATCCCAGGGAGATTCAATTCAACCTCTTCTATTCAGGTTAATGTCATCAAGCAAAGGCTTTAACATATAGCCTCGGATAGGTCTTACATCCTTAGTGAATTCTCTTGACCTCTTTCACACAGGTTAACGTTGTCGAGCAAAGGCTGCGACATACATCATTGGATAGGTCTTGCATCCATGGTGGATTCTCTTGATCTCTTTCACACAGGTTAACATCGTCGAGCAAAGGCTCCGACATACAACCTAAGATAGGTCTTACATCCTTGGTGGATTCTCTCGACCTCTTCCACATAGGTTAATGTCATCAAATAGTGCTTTATCATATAATCTCGGATAGGTCTTACATCCCCCATATCCTTATGGAAAACCCTTTTCTCTCTTGGTGGATTCTCTCGAGCTCTTCCATAAAGGTTGATATCATCGAGCAAAAGCTCTGACATACAACCTCTAATAGGTCTTATATCCTTGGTGGATTCTCTTGACCTCTTCCACACAGGTTAATGTCATCGAGTAGTGCTCTGACATATAAACTTGTAAAGGTCTTACATCCTTAGTGGATTCTCTCGACCTCTTCCATACAGGTTAATATCATCGAGCAGTACTCTAACATATAACCTCGAATAGGTCTTACATCCTTGGTGGATTCTCTTGACCTCTTCCAAATAGGTTATCTTCATCAAGTAAAGGCTCTGATATATAACCTTGGATAGGTCTTATATCCTTGATGGATTCTCTCGACCTATTCCATAGAGGTCGAGCAATACTCTAAGTGAACAATATTTTCTCTATAAAATTCTATGAGAGCAAGGGGTTGATATAATCAGCACTCATATAAGGACCTTAGCAGTCTAATAATACCTCAAAAAATATGGAGGGTAATATATCAAATCATGACTCAAAGATGCATATACAATTCAATTTCCTCTGAGGGATAAGATCTCAACTTCATATACAGTATCATTAGAGTTACTTTGCAAAAATTGTACATCAAGTTTATTTTTGCAAGAATTTCAAAGTAAAAAGTATATTGGCATCATCCCTACAAATTACTATCATCAAGCAACAAGAATCTTTAAGATGGTCAAATATCCTTGGTGGATTCAAATGACCTCTTTTCTATTATGAATTGATGCATTTCATACAACTTCTTCTTCAAAGAAAGGAGTATCTGATGTCTGCACATGTCAATATAGATACATATCTCCTTAGGAGAATGCAACTAGACCACCATCATCATCGACCCTTCTCCCGGTGTGTGCAATCAATCCTTTACTTCATATCATCCATTATCAACTTCTCACTCAAACTATTGATAATAGCACACCATCCAACTCTCTCCTTCAGGTCTCCATTCGGTTGCTGATTTCCAACAAACTTCCACTTGATCAACCATCATTAATGAACTTTTGCCCAAATAGCATCAAAATTCTCCCCGTCTGTTCATAACTTATAGCTCTCCTCCCAGATACTATTACCGCTAGATCTTTTCAAATCACCGTCGCATACAAGTAGTGATGGATCTTCTTCTACCAAGGATTATCTATTAAGAAGATAGGCTCTCATCGTGACTTTTTCTACATAATAGAGGGGCGCTAAAACTTAATAGTGGAATAAAGCCTATCTTCGAAAGTGGAATGCCTCTAATGCAAGAAGAAGAACACAAGTAAAGAACAAGGAGAAAAAACATTTCCTTCTATACAAGAGAGGGGATCTAAAACTTAATAGGAGAATGCTGCCTATCTCCGATAGTGGAAAGCCTCAAATGCAAGAAGAAGAACACAAGTGAAGAATAAAGAGAAAAAAACATCTCCTTCTACACAAGAGAGGGGCACTAAAGCTCGATAGGAGAATGTCTCATATCATTGAAAGTGGAATGAATCCAATGTAAGAAGAAGATTAGAAGAGAACAAAATGAACGGTTGCAAAAATTTCAACCTCTACATACGGAGAGGGGCATTGATTTTGTATAGGAAAAGTCACCTATGAAAAATAGTGGAATGCCTCCCCTGCTAGAAAGTTAGAATGCGGGAGGAGAAAGAAAAGAAACAGCTACAAAAAATCTAACTCCTGTATAAGAGGAGGGGTGCCAATTTAAGTAGGGAAAGTCGCATACTATAAGCAATGGAATGCCTTGACTGTAAGAAGATAGCTAGAGGAGAAGATAGTGGAAGGAGGAAAATTTTCCTTCTATACTGAAGAGGAGCATTGAATTTAAGTAGGGAAAGTCAGATACGAAAAATAGCGGAAGGCCTCTAGAGCTAGAAAAGAAAAAGAAGAGAAAGTTCTAACTTGTACAAGAGGAGGGGCACTGATTTAAGTAGGGAAAGTTACCTATGAAAAATAACGGAATGCCTCCACTGTAAGAAAGCCAGAAGGAGAAAAGAAGAAGGTGCAACTTTCCCCCTAGCCATGGGGGGGGGGGGGGGGGGGGGGGTATTTATAGTCTAGGAAGAAAAAAACATTCTAGAATTTTATGGAATTTTTTTTATTTTTCTAAATTTTTTCTGAATTTTCTAGGACTTTTTTAGAATTTTTTGATTTTAAAAAAATTACATGGGCGGTGGGCCCCACAGAAAAAAAATAATTAAGCCTAAACGCACAGGGCACGCCATTTGACGCGTGGCGCGCGTGCCACTTCGGCTACTTAGGCTTGTTTAGATCCGATTTTTGGCCCAGACGATCCAAATCTAACATGTTTGGTGTCCCCGAATAAGGTTTTCGACGTTCTAGACTCAGTTTTGACACTTTTAGAGCTTAACAGGGTCTCTATGATAAAGTTTGAGCATGTTTACCTTTTTTGGAATGTAATTTTTTTTTTGCGATTTAGTCAATTTAAAATATCAGAATAAGTATTTTAGGACTTCTAGAGCTTCTACGACCGAAAATAGGGAGCAACTAATATTTCATGAAAAAATTATCTTAATCGGGCATGAATCTTGACTCAAAATCAAGTTGGAAACTTCAAAAAATAAATATGGGATCACTTGAACTCCGATTTTAACAAATTTATAGTCAAACTGAGCGTCTCGCAATACGAACCCAATGACACCAAATTCATCTCAATCCGAGTCTAAATGAGTCCAAATTAAGGACTGAAAGTGTTGTTGAAAGGTTCAAACCATAATTTGGAAAACCAAACGGTTTCCAAACGTGATATGCTTATAGTCAAATCGAGCGGCTCAACAAGACGAATCCAACGAGTTCAAGATCGTCGAATTCCAATATCATTAAGATCTTTAAATATCTAATGAATGGTCCATGATCAAGGGATTCAATATTGGCCGTCCATCCAAAGCACTCTACATTTACCCTTGATCTCTCACCTATTTACGGGCCATGCCACTCTAGAATTCTATGAATAGACCCCTCATTTATCTTGAGAGGGGACCGAAGTAAGAAGAAGAAGAAGAGGAGAAAGAGAAGAGAAAAGAAGAAGGATAGGAGGGAAGAAACTCCTCCTCGACCACCGTCGGAATTCTACCCGACGCCTAAGTGACACTAGAATTCTGCCAGACGTCCAAGTGATGTCGGAGCTCTGCCCAAGTGACACTGAATTTCAGTCCAACCTTCAAGTGATGCTGAAGTTCCACCCGAACTCCAAGTGACGCCAGAATTTTGCCCGACCTCCAAGTGACACCAGAATTCTGCCCGACCTCCAAGTGACGCTGGAGTTTCACCTTAACTCCAAGTGATGCAGAAGTTTCACCTGAACTTCAAGCGACACTGAAGTTTATCCCGAATACCATCTAACGCTGGAGTCTCCTCGGCCACCGACTGACTTCGGACTTCTACCCGACGCAGGACCTCAGCTCGTCACTAGATTTCTACCTGACACCGAACTTCTTCCTATTGTTGGACTTTCGTTTGACATCTATCAGTGCTGGATTTCTATCCATTACTGGACTTTTACCCGACACAATCCTTCTAACCTGTGTCTCCATACAACAGTCTTTATGATCTCTGTCTACAGCCGACTACGGTCCTCCTGACTTACATCGTCCACTGGCTACAGTTCTTCTGACCTCCGTCGCCCGTCGACTATGATCCTGCTGACTTACGTCGCCCACCGACTAGAGTCCTTCCGACCTTCATCGCCCGCCGACTACGATCTCTCTGACTTACATCACTCACCGACTATAGTCCTTCTGATCTCCATCGCCTGCCGACTATGGTCCCTCTAACTTATGTCGCACACTGACTACAGTCATTCCGACATCCGTCGCCTGCCGACTATGGTTCTTCTGACTTACGTCGCCTGACCTCCATCATCCGCCGACTATAGTTTTCCTGACTTACGTCGCCCACCGACTACAGTCTTTCCGACCTCCGTTGTCTGCCAACTACGGTCCTTCCGACTTACGTCGCCCACCAACTACGGTCCTTCAGACCAAACAACCACATCAGTAGAGACTCTTTGTATTCTCATCATGGATGTACATCAAGTTAAGGCCTTCCCCCAATGAAGGAACTCATTTGTAATCAACTGTAATACTAGTGGGTTCATTCAAACTGGGCTAGACCCCGTGATTTTTTTCCCTTTTTCAGAGGTTTTCCACGTAAAAATTTTGGTCTCTAGTGAACAACGCACCCTCTTTTTTTATTTGTGTGTGTGCTGAATCTTCGTACAATGCTAAGACATTAAACTTTATATTTCTCTACCGCCACGGCCGCCATGAATACTCTATGACGCAACAATAATAAAAGTAATTTTCGTTAAAGACAGTTGTTATTATATATATATTGAACAATATTTTTTTATAATTATTATATATTAGTAAAATTCAATTAAAAATTTTTGAGAAATAAAAAAAGAAAATATTAGCCAATTAAAAATTTGATTGTAATTTAAAAAATAAAATAATGAGAAAGATGCTAGAAGAAAAACAATTTTTATTCATTTTCCGCGTAATCTCCGTCTCCGGCTGCGCAGTCCGTCCAGTTGCGTGCGACTTCTTTAAACGAACCCATCCAGATTACCATTATGGGGTTTTTTAACAATGCTTCACCTCAATTCTACTTGGTTTTTATTTTCATGTCTCCTTATACATTTTGTCGTAAACGGTATCCGTTCTGCTCCAAATTCAAATAAAGTTTGTTTATTTGATTTCTTAAACGGCAAATTTCTTTTAAACTTTTTTCTTCTAATCAGCGAAAACAAATCCGAGGCCAGAGGACTCACCATTTTAATTTTCCTGTTTAGGTTCTTCGAAATATTGTTTTATCTCTATATATATTTATCATTTTAATCTCTCCAAATGGCCAAGTTCTAATCTTTTAACAGTTTACTCCAAAATCCACTCATCTGAATCTTGGTTTTTATTGAAGTTTTTTTTTTCCAGAATAAAAGATGAAAGCATTCTTAGCTAAATGAAATTCATAAACGGAAGTCTCCCTCCTAACTTCATTCATGGAGAAGAAATGGGTAGTCCCCCTCTTCGTGAGTACTTTATTCGGCATCTTCCTCCTAAGGTCCCTCAACATGGGTCTATTTTCCTCCATGGAAACCATCAACTCGGTTCTCTCTCTTTTACCATCCAAAATCTCCGGCGACAACCGTGACTCTCCTGTCATCGTCGATTCCAAGCTCTCGTCGGAGCCACCGGCGCCGGCCCCTGACGTACCTCGCCTCGCTTACCTCATCTCAGGGTCGAAAGGGGACCTCAGCAAGCTGTGGAGGACCCTTCATTCTCTTTATCATCCTCACAATCTCTACGTTGTGCACCTCGATCTGGAGTCACCGGCGGCGGAGAGGCGGGAGCTCGCTGCCCGGGTGGCCAACCATTCGCTGTTCGCCAAGGTGGGGAACGTTTATATGATCACTAAGGCGAACATGGTGACCTACAGAGGTCCGACAATGGTGGCTAACACCTTGCATGCCTGCGCTATTCTTCTCAAGAAATGGAAGAAATGGGATTGGTTCATCAACCTTAGCGCTTCTGATTACCCTCTCGTGACTCAAGATGGTAAGCTCTAAGTGTTTGATGAAATGCTCATTGAACTTTAATCTTATTTTCTTACTGCTTGTGTTTGTGTTCAGATCTCCTTTTAACCTTCTCAAAATTGCCTAGAAATCTGAATTTTGTTGAGCACACGAGTAGATTGCGATGGAAGGAGTATGTTTTAAGAGTTGCTTGCGATGAGCTTATTTTCTTTTCTTTTTTGCTTTTTTTTTCCACAATAGATGTGTTTTTTTATATGGTTTGATAATGTGAATTTATTTGGATATAGGCCACACAGGGCAAAACCTTTAATCATGGATCCAGGGCTCTACATGACAAACAAGTCTGATGTGTTTTGGTTGTTGTCAAAGAGAGAAGTGCCCAATGCCTTTAAGCTGTTTACAGGTACTTTTTAATCATCATTTAAGAATGATTAATATTTTTGTTAGATTGTTGCGCAGTTTTGTGATTGTTTGATGGATAATGTTCTTTAGATTTGAAGGCCACAATATGCCTGTTTGATTTTATGGAAATTATAGAGGAAATGAAAATGATGAAGGAACTTGTTCGGTTGATGAGAAATTGAGTAATAATTATTTTTATTTTTTTGTTTGTTTTGTGGGAGATTAAATTTTTACATCTTGTGAAGAGAGCACATATACCCCGAGGACTCATAATTGTTATTTTTTCACAAAATTTTGATATGTAATTGTTAATTTAAAAATTTATACATTCATATTTGTTAACTAAATCCAATTTTCTATTGATAACATTCAAATCAGACACACAACATGAAATTATAATATAAAATCCATTTGCATTCTCTCTAATTCTTTCCAACCAATTGGAGCCTGAAAGAAATTTTTTTTATGGTAGTATGATTTTCTGATGTCCTACTAGAAACATTTGCCTTTACTAATGTTTGACAACTTTGGGTTCTTCGAAAGAATCAACATAGGAATGATGAGATTGTAATGCCTATTGGATTCATTATACTCAAATGAAATGTTTCTGACAGCTAAATTTAACGGGCATTAGCTTTTTTTGGGGCAAAATATTTAAAAGATAAGTTTCACTTGATTATGAGGGTGGTCAATAGACTGAATGTTCTTAAAAAAATCATTAAATAATTATTCTTTGGTTATGGAGTTTCAATTGAAATTGTTCGAAGGGTACATGGCATAGAAAATGAATTCAATGTGTTAAAAATTATTATTATCGACTTAAACAAGAATTATTGTTGTTTACACCATGAGCTAATTAACTTTTACATAAAGTCATGAAAGGTGATCAGAGATGTGGGACTTGCTTTCCATTTGGCAAAGCCGGAGATGTTAGAAGGGGGCTTGTCGTTGAAAAGGTCTTCCTTTCTGTCTTTGTTTCTTTTATCTTTTTTGTTTTTTGTTGAAGGACTTGAACTAATTTTAAATTATGGGGAACTCTACCAATTAGGCTAATCCTTGTGAATTGGTGGTTGAAAGGCTATTAGAAAGGCTCGATAGAATCAAATGTTCTGACTTGATCAAATATAATACTCACTGTATTTGACTCCAAAGTCTAAGCGAACATATTTATTATTTGGATCAATTCCATTCCTTTTTCTATCAAAGCTTTCTCACTTGTCTCTTAGAAAAGAAGTTATCAATGATATCTGGTTTTAAATCACTGAACACTTTCATCAAACTGGAAAATTCTTACAGGTGTCTTCAAAGCATTTGTTAACAAGCTTTTATTTAGCATTAAAATTCTGAACACAGCAGCACGGAAATGATGCAAAAATTTTTACCGTCAATATGTATTTAAGGAAATTCTCTCAAATTCGTTGGTCCTTCAAGCTACAAATCAATACAAACAGAACTTAACCAGTGCCACGCTGGTTAGTAATGTTTATTACAAGCTCTCTTATGCAAAGTGTGAAACTGCTAACATGCAGGATCAGCATGGATGGCTCTGTCAAGAGAGTTTGTTGAATTCTGCATCTGGGGCTGGGACAACCTACCAAGAGTTCTCCTCATGTACTACACCAACTTTATCTCGTCCCCCGAGGGCTACTTTCAAACAGTCATCTGCAATTCACCAGACTTCAATGGCACAATAGTAAATCATGACCTCCACTATATTTCTTGGGACATTCCTCCCAGACAACACCCACACACCCTCTCCCTTAATGACATCGGTAAAATGATTAGCAGCAATGCTCCATTTGCACGGAAGTTTGATAAGGATGACCCTGTTCTCGACAAGATTGATGATGAGCTCCTTCACAGAGTCAAGCAGTGGGTCATCCCCGGAGGATGGTGCTCTGGTGAGCCCCTTTGCTCTGATGTTGCTGATGAGCTAAAGCTTAAACCTGGACCAGGATCGGAGAAGCTTGCATTGCTTATGGATAGGTTATTTTCATCTGAAACATTCATGTTTAACCAATGTAAATAGAAATAGTATTGTCTGTTGCAATGTCTCCTTTTTCATTGCTTCTACTTGTTCTCGATTATTCAAGTTTGAATTACATTAAGAATGTTTACATGGTATCAAAGCATCTGTGTAATGGAATCATTTCTCATACTTTCCTTCTTCTATTTCTCATTATGAATGATTCAGCATCTTCCATTATGAATATAGCAGATCCCTATCTGTTTATGGAGGGCTACACTGTCCCTCCTCCATGGAAATTTCTGATGTACACAATTAAAAATGTGGTTAGTTTTCAGCTAGTGCAGATAACCATCTCCCCTGTGATCGGAAGTTCTTAAAATGTATTGGGCTAATGGCTTCAAGGATATCCTGGTGGGTCTACTTCTTGTCATTCATGTCAAGTTGTCTTGACTTCCAGTGAAGTCGCTCCAAATCCTGATTACATGCTCTGGATGCCTATGGATCATAATGCTATGGCTGCCCCGTTCTCTACTATTTCAGCACCATTTCTTCCATGCATGCTTACTCTGGATTCACGTGCTGACATTTGGAGCAACATTGATTTCTTTCTACTTTTGTCAAATTGAACTTATATTTTTCAGCTTAAGAATGAACTACATCACGTTACTATGAATGATCAGTCAATTTAACCATGTCTATCCGACATAAAATCCAAAGTCAATCTAATTGTCATAGCTCCTCTTAACCCGGAAGATATATTCTATGTAGTGTAGGCTCCGAAAATTTGGCCCCGGCCACTGCTGGCACTGTTTGGTTTTTCTTCGGCGAGGAAGTTTTAATGGAATTAAGTTCCGGGATAAATTTTGGAAGGCAAATGAGTTTGTAGATAAGACTCTATCCAGAGATTTCTCCCTCATTTTGTGAGGACTTTATAATCTGAGTCCTGGTTTCCTATAGGCGCAAGCCCCTATAGTTAATTACCCCTCCCGATAACGAGAGAGAACTTTCGATTAAGGCTATTCGTCAATCAAATACGTATAAATACGTGTTATCTGGCATATAGTAGCAGCATAGGTTTGGATGTTGGAAAATTTGGGAATATGGAGGATTGAAAGATTTGGAGATTTGATACTAAAAATTAGAAATTACACCATCTTGCACTTAAAGCAGATGGTTGGGGAATGAATAATAGACCCGATCAAGATCCCATGGTTCCGTCATCCCGGGCCATCATGGTTCCTAGTTGTGGGCTCCGAAAATTTGGCCCCGGCCTCCACTCGCTTTTCTTTTTATTTGAGCGAGGGAGTTTTAACTGAATAAGTTCCGGGGTAAATTTTGGAAGGCAGATGGGTTTGTAGATAAGACACTACCCAGAGATTTCGCCATCATTTTGTGAGGACTTTATGATCTGAGTTCTGATTTCCTATAGGCGAAAGCACCTATAGTTAATTAACCCTCCCAATAATGAGAGAGAACTTTCGATTCAGGCCAGCCGTCAATCAGATACGTAGAATATATGTGTTATTTGGCATATAGTATTAGCAATGAGTATTGGTATTGAGGGTTGGAAGTTAGGAATTTGAATGGTTTGGATATTGGGAAATTTGGAGGGTTTGATATTTAAAACTTGAAATTTTCAATGTGGGATTTGGGCAGGATTTCTGGGAGACGACTGCAAACGGGGCCAAATCAGCGTGATTCATGGGAGGATTTCGTGGATCCAACGGTTTACAGGTATTATTTTTTTTGTTCCTTTGGGTTTATCTGTGGAGGTCAACAAATGTGGCACATGTCTAGAGTGAATCACGTCTGTTGTATGCTGATTGACCCTGTGGATATCTAGATATTTATTCTAGATGTCACACTAGAGCTTTCATTTAGTAGATCTCCTAAAATTTATTTGGATGTCACACTATGATTTTTATTTAGCAGATCTCCAAAAGCTTGTTTGAATGTCACACTACGGTTTTCATTTAGTGGACATCCAAAATTTTGTTTGGATGTCACACTAAGATTCATTCTATAGATCTCCACTAAATCCATCTCCGTGCCTTCATGGATCCTTAGATACATGTGCAATCTTTAGTATTGTTGATATATTTTCTCTTGTTGAAGTAGAGATCCTCGGGGTAGTGATAGAGTACTTTGTATTTAGATCCTTAGAGCTTCACTTTGTAGATTGATGCAGATAGTATTATCACCTCTTGCTCTGCTTTTGCTCCACTATCACTTTTGCTTCTAGCATTTTAGTATCATTTGAACTTTATCTGATCTTTGTAGATTCATTAGTCGGTGGGACTTTGTTGCCTTAGGCTCTCCACAGTTACTTTTGGGTTCAGGTACACTTTCTCCCCTTTTTCTTAGTTTTTATTTTGCGCTCGTATTGACATTGTTTTGTATTTTGTGCAGGCTACCACAGGAAGAGAATCCGAGCTTCAGCCAGTTTACTGCCTTAGGAGACTTCAGTTTTGGTACGTTTTTACTTTGTTTGTATTGTTCTTTTCTTTCTTTAGCTGCTTTCTGACACCATTTTTTTTGCTCTACACAGGTTTCGAGAGGAGCGGGATACTTGTTCGCGATCCACCTCGGGAGACTTTTGTTTTAGGTACAACTTTCTTTTCATAGTCTCTTACATATATTTTTTTATAATTCTTCTTCTTTCTGCTGATTTATCTGTTGCTTTATGTAGGTCCTAGAAGTGTAGAACACCTGGTTTTTAGAAGGTGAAGAATAAGGCTGTGGACTTCCTCTTCAGGCGTAGTTTAGGAGATAGATTGTAGTCCTCTGTGAAGGGCATTGTACTTTTTTTTCCTTCAGTTGATGTAATCTTATAAAAAGATGTAGTCCACAAATTTATATATGAATTCTGAACTTAATAAAATAAAGTAATTTTATAAGTTCAGTTGCTGATGAGCTCTCTTTTTACTGTTCTTGAGACTTCTGTGGTTGTACTTTGACCCGTGCTCCTGGTATTTTAAATATTTATTTGGGGATCTCGGCATGCAGCACGATATCGACCTAAATAAATATTTAAAATGCCCACAGTCTTTAGGGACGCTTATAGATATTATTCGGGATGCTTCTTTTCATAATTTTAGACATAGTCACGAGATTTTGGTTCTTCTGTCCTGTGCTTTGTGTTGCGGACATTGATGGAGGATTACCTGATTTGTCTTTACTGACTTGTCAGGTGATTTTTCTACCTTCGGCCCTATACTTTCTGCTTTGGTGGGCTTGTTAAAGGAGTAGATGTCGATGACCTAAACCTCTAGGTTTGTATTAGGTCGATCGAGAAAAGTCATCGGTCCAGAGTTTTGTGCATAGCGGACTTGTTGATGACGGAATCCACTTAGTTCAGCCATAGCCTTTTCATGAACTGTAGGATATTTTCTTCGGTCCTTTGCTTTGTGCTTTGACGGACTTGTTGAAGAAAAATTCCTTTGATCATCGCTTTGTGCTTTACGGATTTGTTGAAGGATTTGTAGGTTATGGATTCAGTTGATAGTACTAAATGTAGGTATATCTTGTTCCTTAACCACTTGAGAAGACTTTAATCTGAATCACCTGAGTTCATCAGATCGGAAGAGCTAGAATTTGATAGCTCTTTTTCCTCTGGTTGTTGAGATGGAGGTTTCTCTACTACGGCCTTTCTTATGGCTTGTTGAGTAGACAGAGCTGCCAGTGGTCTGGTCATATTTGGGCATGTTGGATCCGACCTTTTACACCCATTCAGACTTTAGACCTGAGCTATGGGAATTACGCTCCCCAATGATGATTTTATTGAAGTTAACAGATTTGGAGTCATCCTTTGTGGTTGTAGATTTGGAGCCTACGAACATTTGGTAGTTGCTCAAGACTCATCTTCCCACTGGAACTTTGATCCCCAATCACTCAGGAGAATTTTGGTGGACTACGATCACTTGAACTGGTCGAGTCAAATTGGCCTTTGTTCTTCCTACAGTCCCTACTGAGGGATTGACGAAGTGGGGGTTCCGCTATTACGGCCTTTCTTATGGCTTGTTGAGTAGACGGAGCTGCCAGCGATCTGACCATATTTGGGTGTGTTGGATCCAACATTTTACACCCATTCGAACCTTAAGCTTCATGCTGTCGAAAAATTTCAAGCTTTTTCGGCTCAATTTTGTAGGAGTGTGTAGCCACAAAAGTCTCTTTCTTGACTTTTGAATCTTTATTCATTAGAGAAGGTGTTGTTTCGATCTTTAGAGAAATTACCTGCAATACTTTGAAAAATAAGTATTTGTATTCTGGAGCACAAAAGAACATTTGAATTGATAATTTTAAATATTTATTCGGGGATCTCGGCTACAGCGCGATGTCGATCCGAATAAATATTTAAAATGCCCCCTGTCTCGTCGGGATATTTTAGAATGGAATAAATTTGAAAATTTGATATTTTAAATATTCATTTGGGGATCTCGGCATATAGCACGATGTTGACCTAAATGAATATTTAAAATGCCTCATATCTCGCGGGGATATTTTGGATAGGCTTTTTGTCTTTAAGATTTTAAATATTTATTTGAGGATCTCAGCAAGCAGCGTGATGTCGACCTAAATAAATATTTAAAATACCCTCAGTCTGATGGGGGATTTTGAAATATGTTCTTGCTATACAAGAGAATTTCAAAATATAAATATATGCATGCTCTGATAACTATATACATAAAAATTTGTTCATCACAAAATACATTAGTTATGAAATTTTCATGCATGATATTTCTTTAGATGTCGGCCGTTGATAGATGGCATAGGCCTCTGACCGTTCAGATCGATCAACTAATAAGCTCCTCCTTGCTATACCTTCTTGATGATAAATTTCTAGGTTTTGTTGAGCTTGTAACCTGAGTTCATCAAGTGCATCGAGCTCTTCCATTCCAAGGCGGGCATTTTGCTCTTGAGTAAGATCATTCTGAATTGCTACCTGAAGTGACGATAGTTTGATTTACAATGGTAATACGGCTTCAACATCAAACACCAATGAATAAGGAGTGGCTTTAGTTGGTGTTTTGTAAGTTGTACGATAGGCCCATAGAGCTTCTGCTATCTTCGTATGCCACACTCTTTTGTTCTTGACGAGGATCTTCTTCAACAATTTCACCAATGTCTTGTTGAAGGCCTCCGCCAAGCCATTTGCTCTTGGATTGTATATAGATGAATATCGCCAATCGATTTTGTGACGATCAATAAATTTATAGATT